GAAGGGTCTCCTGTGCAATACACCCTCCGCTGGACATAGAAATATTCTTTGAGTACACAATGTGACAGACAAAGACATTGGCACCTGATGTTGTACTAACACATGTGGCCTCTCTCCTGAGGTATGGCCTTTTCTCTCCCTGGCACTTACTATCACCAATATTTTGAGTGGCTTTCCCCCTCTCCTCGCATAGGTTGGGTCCTGGGTTCTTTTTCTTGGTGCCTGGCGGCACCACTCAGATGACTGCTCACTGTACCAGGTACACAGGCGTGCTGTCCTTTGAGAAAATCAGCACTAATATCACTATCTGGAAAGGAGTATAAAGCACAGTGCACAGGAGACAATCAAGTAAATAAAACAAATCCCAGCAAAGGAAGGACACATAAATAATAACAGCATAGCGGTGATGGTAACTTTATTGTGAACAGGAAACTAGGATCAAGGGAAGGAAAAGGTTAAGTTAACTAATCTATATATAATATAACAGTAACGTACCCATCTATGCCATGCCAAGAGTCCTACACCATTGTGATTATAAAGTTAACTCAACCAATTGCCACCCCTACCCTACAGCTAATTTTCATGCAACAATTTAATTGGTTGTAATGAGTCAGTGATACAAGAGGGACAGCACAGATGGTGGGTTCCTTGGCCCAAATGCCACTGTTCTTCAAAGGTTGATTTGCCACCCATACAACTCACCACAAACTACCCAAGGAAACTGACACACCCAAACAAATCAACACAAATTTCCCAACACAACCCACGCACAAATCAACACAACCACCCACAGAACACACAATAACATCAAACACACACAACTCCTCACCTTAGCACACACCCCTCATTCACCACCCGCACAAATCAGTACAAATCTCCCAGCACAACATTCATACTCACCCACCCTCATTCATAAAACCAGTAACTTGAATGGCAAAATTGCTGGTCATCTCTAGTAATAAGTAAGCCTATTCTCCAGAATTTAAAACTCACAAGTTCCTCCAAACCCCAGCTGTCTGCCTGGCACCTTCCCAAGGCAGACAGTATGGCTGAGTTTGTGTATCCTGGTATAGTGTGTTCACCGCTGCAGCACTGGCCAGCTTACACAAAAGTCCCCTTAACTTTTCTTCATCCCTGAATGCGGCAGGATCATGTCCTGGATACAACCAGGCTTGCTATTCCCTGGTCTGGAATCCTCCTAAAGTCTCAGTTGGCTATCAGTAGCCAGTCCCAGACTGGATCTCTCTCTCCAGATGCTGGTGCTGCCTCTCTTCCAGCTTCCAAACTAAAACTCTCTGTGTAAAATCAGTCTGCCTGGTCGCTGGGAGCTGTGCAGCTGTGGCTTGTCATAGGTTCAGTGGACTGCTCATCCAGATCCCCCATGCAGAAGCCTCCCTGTTGGCCTTGGCGAAGGTTGGGAATGGAATCAGGGGGCTCTAGTAGCCATTATAGCTGTAGTCCTTTAGGATAAGGCCCTCCAGAGGCTGAATCCTGAACTCCAGGAGCTGGCAACGGTAAGTGGGGGTTACACACAAATAAAAGCCTGCAGGACTCTGTGGAACATGTGAGCTGCTAGTGCTGCTGCTAGGTGAGCAGGAGGCTGGCAGCTGAGTGCTCTCCTGGCCTGGCTGGACCCTTTGCACAGCTCATGCTCTAAAGCCAGACATGGGCAAAGTATGAGCTGGTGCAGATCCCAGAAAGGGAAACAGGTGAGATGGATGGAAGAGGCGATTCAGGCTCCAGCAGCTCTGGTACAACAGGCTCGGATTCTAAAACATGACCTCTGTGCCTGCTAGAGCTGTAGGCGAGGGGTGGGACCAAAAATATCATTCTCTCCTCACAGCTGCAGTGGTACCAACTCTTTCCATTTCGTTTTGTGTCATAGTTTTAAAAGGAAGTTTCTAGCCTTTGTGGGTGGGTTGAAAAGTTTGAACAAGTGACCCCTAAAGGCTCAGAAACAAGAAGGCAAAGCAGAAATGCCCCCATGTTCTATTTTCTAAAATCTCTGTGCCTTTCACTACATGTCCCTCTGCACATGCTATGGCCGCTGGGATCTCATCTGCAAGGGCCCTGCCCCCTCCACATTTAGTCCCTCTTAGAGCCCAGAGTTGCCCACTCTTGCAATTTTTTCCATAAGTGACACAACTGTGGCTGGTCTGGGGCCCAGTCCTACAATGAGGCAAGAAGCTCCATCTTGAGTCCTCTGATTGGCTGACTGCCCCCATTTGCCCGCCTCCTGGGGTAAAACAACCAATCATAACTGTTTCCGGCAGAGCTCTCTTCCTCCCCCTTTCCCTTCACCAATCTGAAGCCATTTTCATTGGAGGGTGGGGGAGCAAAGAGCCATCAGCTCAGGGCAGCTCTTTCCTCCTGTTTCCCTCCCTTCCTGTGAGCAACAGGCTTCCCCCCACAGCACTGGCCTGGGAGGGGGCAGAGCTCCCTGGAGGAGCAGAGTTGAGGCTAGGGAGCTGAACTGAGGGGTGGCACCTGGGGGGGAACAGAACTGATGGGTGGCTGGGTAGGGACAGAACTATTTGCTGGGCAGGGGACAGGCAGATGCGGGGGTGAGAGCTCCTGCAGTCGGGGCCGAAATCATCTTACCCAATACAGTGGGAAGAGTGGGCAACACTAATTATCTCACATACCATGCTGTCTCCAGTGAATCTTTTTAATTTGAATAACATTGCCCTATTTCTTCTCCCCTTCCCTTAAACTTTCTGTACCTGTCTCTCTCTCCTTGGAAGATGTACTCCCTGTAGCAGGAACCTTCCCTTCTAGAATGTCTGGAAAGCATCTAGCACACCGTTCATGCTACCATAACCTAATAATAATAATAATAAATAAATACATTTGCACCCTCAATTCACATTTGGGAAGAGGAATGTTCTTCTCTGTCTCCTAAAATCATGCCCATTCTTGCAATTAAAGTTTGCCTCCCCTGATGTTAGGCTCAGACCCATTCATATTGCCAAATCCTGAGGCCCTTACACATTTTTTCTTCTCAGTCTTTACTCTGGTAAAATTTCTTTTGGCTTTAATACAAATTTGCCTTTGTTTTCAGTAAGGACTAAGTAAGAACAAAGTCAGGAGTTTAGGTTGTAGCTCATGGTGAAAGAGGGCAAATTGACAGCCAAAGCATAATTATGAAGGTGTTGGGGAGTCCTGTGGCACCTTTAAGACTAGCAGATGTATTGGACCATAAGCTTTCGTGGATGAATACCCACTTCGTCAGACACGTCAGACGCATGCATCTGACGAAGTGGGTATTCACCCACAAAAGCTTATGCTCCAATACATCTGTTAGTCTTAAAGGTGCCACAGGACTCTGTTGCTTTTTACAGATCCAGACTAACACGGCTACCCCTCTGATACTATGAAGGTGTTGGTAGCAGCTCCACAGTTCTTATTATTAGTTACTTGTATAGCTTCTTGAGGCCCCAGATGAGATCAGAGCCCAGTGTACTTGGCACTGTACAAATGCAAAGTAATAGTCAGTCTCTGCCTCACAGTCTGAATGGAAAAGACAGACAAAAACCAGAGAAAAAAGCTGAGGCCCAGAAAGGTGAAATGAGTAGTCCGAGGTCAGAGGCAGTGCTAACCTGGAGCACGGGGCCACAGGACAAGTGCAACCTCCCACAGGGAATATCTCCAATGCAGAGTGCCCTTACATCAGGGACAGAGCCAGCTAGTTATGCACTGCCACCGCCTCTGTATCAGTATTATTTAATCGCAGCAGCAGGAATAAGGCAGAACAAGTTTTTACACAACAAATATGCTTCTATCTTACCTAAAGCTTAGCATCTCCCTTAAAACTTAGGCAAGTCCAGCTGCTTAAAAGTTAAGACCCATCCTCCAGGGCCTGTCTCTGTGTCAGTTTGCTCCCCTTGAGCAGTAACTTGACCACTTCCTCTGCCTGCTCTTCAGGAACACTCTTTTTATCCATTTCAAAGCATTTTGTTCCAGTTTCCCACCTGGATCTCCCCCCACTTCACTAGCCAACAAGCTGATCGCAGCATGGACAGTGTTAAAACTTCAAAGGTGTTGTCAGCTGTATTGTCTTCTGAATATCAGTAAATGAGTTATCTAAAACACTGTCTTGTTTCTTGTGGAAACAAACCATCCAGGTCTGATTTAACCCTCAGGGTATGCATAGACAGCAAAAAAGTGTATTCTTAACATGGGTTAGCTAACCCCCATTAGTTAACTCTAATTAAAATATCAGTGAAAACATGGCAACTTGCCTTTTAACTCAGGTTAGCAGTTCAAATTCAACCTCAGGCTGCCCTAGGCTTGATTTGAACTGCTAATCTGAGGCCAGGTCTATACTACAGGTATAACTACATTGCTCATAGGTGTGAAAAATCCATATCCCGGAGAGACCTAGTTATACCGACCTTAACCCTCCGTGTAGACAGTGCTATGTTGGTGGGAGAGCTTCTCCTGCTGATGTAGCTATCACCTCTTGTGGAGGTGGCGTAACTAAGCTGACAGGAGAGCTCTCTCCCTTCGGCTTAGAGTGTCTTCATCAAAGCACTACAGCTGCATCCGTGCAGTTGTGCTGATGCAGCATTTGTAGTATAGACCTGCCCTGAGTTAAAAGCTGAACTGGTGTGTCCTCACTGCTATTTAACCCAAGTTAGCTAAACTGAATTAAGAACATACCTCTTCTTGGAGTACCCTTAGTAATCCTGTAGCAGACAACACAACAAGCAAACAAGCAAAGCTTCATAAAATAATACAGGCCTCTCTCACATCCTTCACAATTAGTTAAAAACCACTGACAGTAGCGTTTGTTTCTAAATAGTGACACAAAGGTCCATATTTCAAGAACAAATATTTAAGTACAGGGTCTGTATTTTTTTAATGTACTCATAGCTATAATCCATAATTTCTAAACATTGTTATGAAAAGTTTGAAAAACATGTCTATCTACTGAAAGGTGTAGTGGCGAGTATGGAGTGTAAATGTAACCTTCATTGATGGATTGATTGACTCTCTAGGCTACTCACAGCCTCGGCTGGTGGGAGGAGACAATCCCTGCTCAGGACGTGTGGAAATAAGACATGGTGAAACATGGGCTACACTCTGTGATGCACACTTTGATATCAAAGCTGCCAGTGTTATCTGTAATGAATTAGAGTGTGGAAGAGCTTTATCTACCCCAGGAGGAGCTCACTTTGGAGAAGGACACGGGCCGATCTGGACTGAAGAGTTGCAGTGTGTGGGGAATGAGTCACACCTTGCGTACTGTCCCAGGAGATCACATGTGAATCAGACATGCTCACATGCAAATGATGCCAGTGCCATATGCTCACGTAAGAATTCAGCATGATTTCTTTAAAATCCCAGTGTTGTGTATTCTAGAGTACAGTGCAACAATAAAACAATCTCACTCTGTAGGGAGCTGGGAAAATAGGGTGCCATCAGCTTCTGGTAAAACTCAAACAATAAGAAAGGGATCAATCACTCCTGACTTCCCGTACAGAAAGCTGGCTAGATCGTCGGGCTCAACGGGTAGTGATCAATGGCTCCATGTCTAGTTGGCAGCCGGTATCAAGTGGAGTGCCCCAAGGGTCGGTCCTGGGGCCAGTTTTGTTCAATTTCTTCATTAATGATCTAGAGGATGGTGTGGATTGCACCCTCAGCAAGTTTGCAGATAACACTAAACTGGTAGGAGTGGTAGATACGCTGGAGGGTAGGGATAGGATACAGAGGGACCTAGACAAATTAGAGGATTGGGTCAAAAGAAATCTGATGAGATTCAACAAGGACAAGTGCAGAGTCCTTCACTTAGGATGGAAGAATCCCATGCACTGCTACAGACTAGGGACCAAATGGTTAGGTAGCAGTTCTGCAGAAAAGGACCTAGGGGTTACAGTGGACAAGAAGCTGGATATGAGTCAACAGTGTGCCCTTGTTGCCAAGAAGGCTAACGGCACTTTGGGCTGTATAAGTAGGGGCATTGCCAGCAAATCGAGGGACATGATCGTTCCTCTCTATTCGACATTGGTGAGGCCTCATCTGGAGTATTGTGTCCAGTTTTGGGCCCCATACTACAAGAAGAATGTGGAAAAATTGGAGAGAGTCCAGCGGAGGGCAACAAGAATGATTAGGGGGCTGGAGCACATGAGTTATGAGGAGAGGCTGAGGGAACTGGGATTGTTTAGTCTGCAGAAGAGAAGAATGGGGGAGGGGGGGATTTGATAGCTGCTTTCAACTACCTGAAAGGGGGTTCCAAAGAGGATGGATCTAGACTGTTGTCAGTGGTAGCAGATGACAGAACAAGTTGCAATGGAGGTTTAGGTTGGATATTAGGAAAAACTTTTTCACTAGGAGGGTGGTGAAGCATTGGAATGGGTTACCTAGGGAGGTGGTGGAATCTCCTTCCTTAGAGGTTTTTAAGGTCAGGCTTGACAAAGCCTTGGCTGGGATGATTTAGTTGGGGATTGGTCTTGCTTTGAGCAGGGGGTTGGACTAGATGACCTCCTGAGGTCCCTTCCAACCCTGATATTCTATGGTTCTATGATACTTAGCGATTTAGTATAAAATTGCTCCAAGGCTCCCTCTCTAAACCCCTTCTCCCTTCTCCCCAGGGCACTCAGGGTTCCAGCTGGTGAACGGCAACACAGAGTGCTCAGGGAGGGTGGAGATCCAGGTTCGTGGTGACTGGGGAACTGTCTGTGACTCACACTGGGATCTATCAGATGCCAACGTTCTCTGTCATCAGCTCAACTGTGGGTTCGCTGTATCGACTCCAGGAGGAGGGCATTTTGGGAAAGGAACAGGCTCTGTCTGGACAGACACATTTCACTGTAAAGGGACTGAACCCCATTTGGGCCATTGCCCTGTGACTGCCCTGGGTGCATCTCCGTGCCCACATGACAATGATGCCAGTGTGATTTGCTCAGGTAAGTGCAGCAGAAATGCTGGATTAATGACACCTGCCCCTCAGTGTCCGACACTGCCCTCCAGAGCACAGGGAGAGGAAGAATGATCTAGGATCAAGGATTATGCAATAAAATAGAAATCCCCGTATTCCCAACTTCAGCAACGTTGCCTACCAGACCATTTATCATGGAAGATACTAAGACTGAACAAGAAGAATAGGAACATTAGCCTCCAACAGAAAGGAGCAGCTAGGACAGGGCTAGAATTCATCAGACTGGTACAGAGAGTGCCCCAGTGGCTGCCCCACTGTACTGGGTAAGATGATTTTGGCCCCGGCTGCAGGAGCTCTCACCCTGACATCTGCCTGTGCCCTGCCCAGCAAATAGTTCTGTCCCTACCCAGCCACCCATCAGTTCTGTTCCCTCCCAGGTGCCACCCCTCAGGTCAGCCCCCCAGCCTCAACTCTGCTCCTCTTCATGATGCAGAGTGAATCATCTAGTCCAATCCCCTGCTAAAAGCAGGACCAACACCAACTAAATCATCCCAGCCAGGGCTTTGTCAAGCCGGGCTTTAAAAACCTCTAAGGATGGAGATTCCACCACCTCCCTAGGTAACCCATTCCAGTGCTTCACCAACCTCCTAGTAAAATAGTGTTTCCTAATATCCAATCTAGACCACCCCCACTGCAAATTGAGACCATTGCTTCTTGTTCTGTCAAGAAACAAAGCTATGAAACATTAAATGATTTTTAGACTGGTGAACCCCTTTGTACTTTAAGATGCACCCTCAACTGGTTTACTTTAAATTAGACAGTGAAAATGGTCCTTTACCACAGATTTGAATGGGCAACATAGAAGCCAATACTCCTTTGTTAGGATAAGTTAGGAGGGTGGCCAAAATTATAAAAGAAACTCAGTCCCAACCATAAGTATGCAGTGGCTGCCACCGCACCATATTTTGGAGCTATTAGTTCATTTCTTTGTGTTAAAATCAAGACTAACAAACAAAACAAACTATGTGGGACCATGTATTAGAGTTTCCCCATCGTAAAGAGGGTTTCTCTCTCTCTCTTCTGTTCTTTCTAGAGATTTTGGCACAAAGACTCACTGGTCACTGTTCTCCAGAGCACCTTGGATTGTTTCCTTAATCACCACAAGCCATTAACGTCCCTTGGCCAAACTCCCTTAGATAAGTCACAACACCCGTTTGCCTACTCAGGTACCATTCTCTGTCTTCAAGGTATTTAAGTCTCACTGAGACCATAGACCTGATTCTCAGTCACTCCATTCCTGCACTTGGGTGGCAGGGAAGGCAGCTTTAAGCCCCATTTACATTCTTTATTCTGGTGCCATGTAGGGCCTTGCCCAGACCCTGGTGTAACTAAGAGCAGATTCAGGGCTGTTCTAAGTTGTACTTTTCTCCCCATAGTCTACAGCAGAGAATAGCTGTATTGTTGTGCACTATGGGCACACTCTGATCAAACTGTGAGGGTTCTTGAGGAACCCAGGGCACCTAGTGGCCTCTTGCCTCTAGCAAGAGGTTGCCTTGTCCATGGTGGATGGGTGTTAGATCCCTAACACCACCAGCCTGTTAGTCACTCAAACACTCTCCTCTGGGCTATGTCAGCCATGTCTTTGCCTTGCAGGTTAACAAGAGATGCATCCTAGTATCCAAGTCCCTTTGAATTATTCCCCTGTGATATCCAGCCCCTGACACTGGCTACTCACAGAAGTCCCAGATTCTCCAAAAGTGCAATGTGCCTCAGTTTACTGGTTTTAATGTAAACTCCTGTATAACACACAGCACTTGTAAGCACTTATAATAAAACAGGAGAAAATTTATTTAAGAAAGAATGTTCACTAGAAACAAGAGAGAGTGGTGAAAACAAATGGTTACAATATAAAACAAAATCATAAAACACAACCTAAGGCCTACACTTATCAACAGTTACCGTTCCTAACTAAAATATAGGTTTCCTGGAAAAGTTAAGTCTGTTACAGTGCTGTCTGGCTTCACAGGAATCAGGATCCAAACTTGTACAAACAGTGTCTCCTCAGCGACAGGATCCAGAATGCCTCTCCCACTCTGTGTTATACTGAACCAGTCTTTTGTCTATATTCATTGGCAGGATGATTCCCTGCTGTTGTATTGTTCCTTTTTTTACCTTTTTTACCTCTGTATTGGTTTTGATTGTTTGCAGTCATCTCTGATGGTTTTCCGTTGATAGTCTGGGAATGGAGCAATTGAGCCTTGCATTACCTCACCGGCTAACCAGGGAGGGGCGACAGCTCCTGCCTGCTTGAATGGGCTGTCACTGAGACCTGTTATCCCTGGTGACTAACTTTTACTGCCAGTCTGTAAAGTCTACATTCAATATACTTCCATGATTCCTTAAATGTTACCTGCACATACATCTCATAATGGTTCTGAGTCGTGATAAAGTTATGAGCTTTCTGTAGATACTTACCTGTTACCCCTTATGGATAAATTCCCTACAAGATGTGTGTTCGGTGTAGTGAGTTTGTCAGGTCTGAGGACAGAATTTCAAAGGACTGGGGAGCCTTTGCTAAGGGATCTCTGTGTCACACACGCCACTGCCATACATGATCACTACCTCCTTGTGACACATGCAGATGCCTGTATCAATGCAATGATTTGAATATGGGTCATTTAATTCACTGAGCTACTATAGTTTGTATTGTTCCTACTGTGCACAGTCTATTTCCCATCTCTCCTGGGCCCAGGTCATTCGGAATCACTCAGACTGTTGAATGGAGAGAGCCGCTGTGATGGGAGAGTCGAGATTTCCCTCCATGGTGTGTGGGGCAGAGTGCTGGATGACCAGTGGGACATGAACGATGCCAGTGTGGTGTGCAGGCAGCTCCAGTGCGGAGTTACTGAGAAAGCTTATAACCCCCCTAAGTCTGGGCGAGGAACGGGCCCTGTGGGGCTGAGAAGTGTCCAGTGTGCAGGAAATGAGACTCGTCTGACTCTCTGCAACATCTCCGCATTTGAGACAGCCCAGGCAGGAATTACTGAGGATGCTGGTGTCGTTTGCTCAGGTGACTTACTGTAAACATTTTACAAACAGCCTGTCCTTGTCCAATAGGAACATGACCCACCCTGGGACCTGCCTCCACCCCACCTTGTGCTGAGATCTCAAACAGATATGGATTTGAGATTCACATTATGGACTGTCTCCAGTAAAAGTATGTGTGTTATATGCAGAAACAACAGCATAACTACATTAGCAATTAAGTGCCGATGCAAAGCAGCAATTCAGCAATTCTGCACAATCCAGCCTGTGCACTGAATGAGGCAGGGGGTCTGTGAAAAAAATAGTATGTGATCACATACTCCAAGTCTGTATCATAATGCACACGCACAAAGAGCCCATATTAAGGTTGCACTAGCAAACGTAAATCTATTTCCTAACTTTTGACAGCTTGAATCTGCAACCCAAATAATGTTTTTTTAAATGTAGTTTTATGTGAAATTTCCTATGAAAAAGAGAAAGGTAAAACCAAATTCTATTATATGCACCCCTACCACTCACCTCCCCCTGTGACTCCTCAGCGGGATTTGACCACTACTTCATACCTTTGGCACTAGAGCCCAGATTGCTGCTACTATTTAACCTGCAGAACTAACAATATTAGCTAGCAGCAGGAAAAGGCTGTTATCCAAGAGTGGGGATGGGTTGCTGGATCTGCATGGTGGTTGTGGGGAAATCCAGCCCGGTCTGGCTCTCTCTCCCTCACCTTCAAAATTGGGGGAACTCCCACTCCATGTATTACCCCAGATTGTGTGATTTTCTGTTGGACCATGTGCTGCACCAGCAGGATGGCTGGGGGAAAACCACTCTGTGTCTCTTTTACTCCATAGCCAGGTTCTTGGGGTTCTAGTCCCATGTTTTGCCCCCAGAGTGTGGGGTGTGGTGGTAAATGGGCCACTGAGGCCAAGTGCTGGAATTGGGGATTTACAGAGGAGTGGGCAGGAATCCAGCCCTGCTCTCTTCCCCCTCTACAGCTGCTCTGGTAACTCCATGCTGGTCACAGAACAGTGAATGCTGCTGCTGTTGCTTTGATGATAGTGTTAGCCTGGCATGGGAAGAAGGGTCAGTGATTTTGATAGGCTGCCAACATTTTCTTGAGGAACTCAAATGAGAGAAGGGAAATGGCAATTTGAACTCTGTATATTTTAGCCAAATCTGAATAGAGTTTCATGGGACAAAGAAAAGGCAGTGCTGTAGCCACAGGAGATTCCCTCTGCTGAATAGCAAAGACCTGTTGCAAACAATAGAGATGTGAGAGCTCAAAGAAAGATCACTAAAGCCTGGACCCACAAAGGGAAGTAGGCATTGCAAAACTTATCTTTTAAGAGCTTAGAAAATCACAGGAATGACGTGATTTACAACACCTGAGTTAGGCACCCTATACAATGAGTGGGAATGAGATAGGAGCCTTAGAATGGGACTCACAAAAGCCGGCTCACTAGGCAGGGAGCCTTGTAAACTAGTCAATGGGAGATGCTAGTGAGAGGGGTGTGTCCTAAACTCTGCCCCTCTCACAGAGACAGGCACCTAAGGGTATGTCTACACAGCAATTAAACATCTATGGTTGTCCTGGGTCAGGTGCTGCGAGGATACCAGAGACTGGGCCCAAAGCCAAGCCCAAAGGTCTATGTTGTGTATTTGGTTGTCGTGGTAATAGAAGCTTGTGTTGCTATGGCAACTGAGTTAGATTATTAGGGGATAGCCCAGCCTGCTTTGGCTAGCTGTTGGTTAGTTCTGTGTGTAGCAATAAATGGCTGCTCCAAGGTTTACAGCTCTCTGTGTCTCCAGTGATTTCTTCCTAAAACTGTTGCCCCCAAGGATATAACAGTCTACCCAGGAATTTTTAGCCCTGCAGCTTGAGCCCCATGAGCCTGAGTCAGCTGACCCAGGCCAGCTGCAGCCATGTCACAATTCTTTTATTCCAGTGTGGATGTACTCTAAGTCTGAGCTGCAGGGAGGCACCAGTCTCAGATTGTGCTCCAGGAACTGGGGGAAGAAAGGCATTTCTGTGCCTAACTCTGGTGCAAGGTCCTATCTGGTAGACATGCTCAGAGGACACCTAACTCCATGAACAGCAAAAAGGCGTGTGGGGAGGAAGGAAACAGAAAGGAGGAGTGCCACTTTTATCCCAGTGGTTAACACACTCACCTAGGATGTTGGAAATCCCCAGTTCAAGTCCCCTCTTTCCCTGTTGAGGAGGAGGGATTTGAAGAGAGATCTCCTGCCTCTAGGATGAGCACTCTAGGCAATAGAATGATTCTTTCTCTGCCCAATTATATTTATTTAATTAAAGTGGAACAATGTCAATGGGAGAGAGACCCACATCAGGATGTCGTCTCATAGCCCAGTGATGAGATCCCTGTCCTGAGTGGTAGTAGATCCCTGGAAATAGACAACCTTAACTCTGTCCTGTAATGACACCACACAATAACTTACATTTATGGTTAATGCATAATGGTATCTGGTGTCCCAAAGTAGATTAAACAGATTTCTAAAGACACATTAGATTGTTTCATATTTTCCCCTCATGGTGTCAAGGGAGTAGGATCAGGCAGGGGTGTTCACGGGTGTGCTCCTCAGAACTCGAGTGGGTCAGAAACCAGAATTCCCATTCCACAGGAAACTGGGAAATTTTGATTTTTTCCCTCCAAATTAAAATTAAAATTTGAAATTTCACACAAGCAAAAATTCCAAAATTTTGTTTCAGAAAAATTGAAACAACATTTTGTTTTGACCCCATTGCCTTGATTTTTATGTTTATTATAATTGTAATATGACATAATGTAACATAAAAGTAGAAATGATAAAGCAGAAATTAATCTCTTCAGCATTATCGAAACAATACATTTTGATAATTTTGATCTAAAACTGAAAAAATCAATACAATTGTTGCAATTTTGTCAAATCATAATTTTCCAATGGAAAATGTTTCTGTCTGAAAAATTCAACTAGTTCTTCTCAGAACCATACTGGGAACCACTCTCCTCTCCCGGCTCTCCGATATGATGCCTCTATGCATGCAGCCTACAGTAGACAGCTTAGTTTCTTGCAGTTGTATCACATTGCACACATGGGTGGCCAGTGATCTGGCCTTTGCGGGAGGCTAGCCCCCAGCCTCTCCCCTTGTGCCCAAGGCCCCGCCCCTTCCCTTGTGACCCCTTTCTCCCTCCCCTTGTGCCTAAGGCCCTGCCCCTCGTCTTTTGCTCCCCCCCCAGGAGCCCAGAGCACCCCACCGTGGCCCCTGGCCCTAGCGCCAGGGAGCGGGGAGGGGGGCAAGGCCCCAGCCCCAGTGCGCCAGGTGGCGTGGCCGCAGCACCTCCAGCCCCTGTGCGCCGGGCAGCCAGTCCCAGAGTGCCAGGCTGTGTGGCTGCAGCGCCCCCAGCCCCAGTGCGCTGGGCAGCGCGGCCCCAGCACCAGCCACTCTGAGTCCCTGCGGGAGGCAGGCCAGCCAGCCCCAGCCAGCCTGGGACAGCCAGGGCAGAGCACTGTGAACCGCAGGAGGGGGCCTGGCCTGGAGGCGGAGCGTGGGCAGAACCACGCTAGGCTGTTTGGGGAGGCATAGCCTCCCCCTGCCTTTGATACTTGCTGCCCATGATTGCAGACTCATATCTATTCTATTTTCCTTTCTTGCCACTAGGTCTCTTTCACTTTTGCTTCTTCTCAGCTGATCCCAATGATTATATGTGCTTCATATTATTTTTTCCCAGACATATTCACTTCCATTTTCCTGAACTGAATCTCATTTTGATTTCCTTATCCAAGGGCCATATAGCAGGGGTGGCTAAACGTACTGGCCTGCCGAGCCACATGTACGATGGTCTTCAGAAGTTCGAGAGTCAGAGCACACCTGCCAGGAGCCAGGGCTTGGGGCTTCAGTCCCACTCCTGCAAAAGCCCCGAGCCTCGGCAGGTGCACCCCACAGGGCTGAAGTCCCAAGACTTGCCTCCCTGCTGGACAGAAGCTCCTACCCCACTACCGCACTGCAAGGCAGAGGTCCCAAGCTCTCCCTCCCGCTCCCCCGGGTCTGGTAGGCAGAGAAGGGAGGGTGGAGAGGGCTTGTGAGCCATAATTTAATAGTAAAAGAGATGCATGTGGCTTGCGAGCCACAGTTTGGCCACCCCTGCCATATAGTGTCATCAGGATATAAGCACAATTCCCCTTTGACTTTAGTGTGGATTTATACTTAAAAGTTAATAGTATATAATGGGGCTTTATATTTTTGCTTATGATTTCCCACTTTTCAGTGTTCACAGTCTCTCCCAGTTTTGTGTAATCTGAGACTTTCACTATACATAACACATTGCAATTTTATCATTACATTTTGTGTTCAGCCCTGCAGCTGATCACATCCTAGCCAAAATCATATCTGGCTGAATGCTGAAAGCTTGATTTTGTGAGAAACTTTATCAATGCTTTACTAAAATGAAGAGTTATTACATCTATTGTATTCTTATCATCCATTGATGTGATAGCTATTAAAAAGCAGTATAAGGTACTTAGCATGACCTGTTTCTTTGTAAATTTCAGCTGCTAATGGCTTATGGTTACATTGGATTCAGGATAGGAATATGAATTACAGGACAGTAGTAATCAGGATCACTTGTCTTTCTTACATAATTGTTAAAATAAATTGGTGCCATATTTGCTTTCCTCTAATCTGCTAGTACCTCCCAATTCTTCAGCACTTACAAACATAATTATTAGTACTTAAGCAAATTTGTGAGCTAATAATTCCCTGAATGCCCACTAAGCTTATTTTCAAATACATGTTTGAAAAGATTTGAGTTTTGAAGGCACGACTGATTCTGCAAATCCACAAACTCTCAGCTAGTTCTTTCTCCTAGGTAAATCAAGCATTCGGGATTAAGCCTTATTCCCTTACGCACTTTTAAGATCTCTTTACCATGCCTTAATCACTTTCTAACTCTGCAGACTTCTCTTTATGTTTCTTGTTAAAGACAGACTTTTAAAAGCATTTCAATATTTCAGCCATTGGAGAAGTGTCATTGATTTGTGTGGAAGCTGTTCAGTTATCATTATATTACATATTGCCCACTGGGATTCATCCTTGTAGGGAGCAGGCGGATCAGGCTGGTGAATGGGCCAGGTCGCTGTGCCGGGAGAGTGGAGATTTATTACAATGGCACTTGGGGAACAGTCTGTGATGATTCCTGGGACCTTCCAGACTCCAATGTTGTTTGCAATCAACTGGGATGTGGATACGCCATCAATGCAACTCTCTCTGCTCATTATGGACAAGGATCTGGGCAGATCTGGCTGGATGATGTGAACTGCTCTGGGAACGAATCTGATCTCTGGGAGTGTCCTTCCGGGGGCTGGGGCCAGCACAACTGCAGACACAAAGAGGACGCAGGAGTTCTCTGCTCAGGTCTGTTCTGTGAATGATCTCATGAGTTTGTTTACCAGGGGATTTAATGAAGTATATGGGTGTTTGAGGAGAGAGATGAGGATAACAGAAAGTTTATTTCCCTTTCCCTTTCTCTGTCTGTCTTTCTTCCTGACCTATCCACTTGCAATGGTCACCATTAAAAAGTCTACATTGACAACAGTTAATATCAAGGGGTACTGGAAATATTGCATTATTACCTTAGCTTTAGAACATGTATTAAATTCTGAATCTTGGGTAACACTGTGTGTAACTGTTGGTGAATGGTGTATTTTAAATAACAATTCCATGGTTAATATGTCTGTCACTGGTCTCCAGAAAAGTCTCTCTGACTCGTTAAATGAATCTTGCTTCTGTAGAAGAATGTGCAGGTTTGTTAGCAATCTCAGGGATTCAGCCTTCAAACCACATTGTGTTTCAAAATCAGAAAATGTCACAGACAACTTCTGCATTTCTTTCTAGGGCTCATGGATCTGAGACTGGTGAGTGGTAGTGCTTGTGCTGGGCGGCTGGAAGTTTTCTACAATGGGACATGGGGCAGTGTTTGCAACAGTCCTATGGATGCAGTCACCAGGGCACTTATATGCAAACATTTGGACTGCGGAGACAATGGGATTCTTTTAAAAGACTTTACACATGGAAGAGGCTCTGGCCCCACCTGGGTGGATGGTATTCGGTGCAATAAGCAGCACGGCTCCCTGTGGGAATGCCCGTCAGACCCATGGAATCAGCAGTCATGTAGTAACAGAGAACAAGAAACCCACATTTCTTGTGAAGGTAATTAGTAAACTATTTGTACTATATAAACACTCAAACCACAAGTCTAACTCGCTGACAGGTTTTGATATACACCTCTACCCCGATATAACGCTGCCCTCGGGAGCCAAAAAATCTTACCGCGTTATAGGTGAAACCGCGTTATATTGAACTTGTTTTGATCCACCGGAGTGCGCAGCGCCCTCCCCCTCCCCCCCGGAGCACTGCTTTACCGCGTTATATCCGAAGTCGTGTTATATTGGGTCGCGTTATATCGGGGTAGAGGTGTAATTATGGTATTTTATATTTTCACTATATTTTATGAAATACATAGTTATATTCTTTTAACATACTCAGCAATGGCACAAACTTATTTTCAGTCTCTGAGGTTATAGAGATAGGAATGTAGTCTGTTAATATCAAACATGGAAATCAATTATTAAAAAATACACATTACACAGCATGATCAGTTATGACCTAATCCAACACCCAGTGAAGTAATCAAATTGTAGATTTTAAAGTCTGAAGAGCCTGTTAAAATAATCTAATCTGGCGGGCCATAGAATATTAACTAGTAATTTCTGCATCTAGCCTATATATTCTGGTTTAGCTACAGCATGTCTTTTAGAAAAACCTCCCATCTTGAATTAAAGACTTCAAGTAATGGAGAATCCAACACAGCCTTTGGTGAAATGTTTCAATGGTTAATTATGGTGACTGTTAAAAAAACTGTTCTGAATTTGTCTAGCTTCACCTTGCAGCCACTGGATCATGTTAGGCCTTTGGGTACTAGATTAAAAAACTATCTGCTCTCAGAATTCTTCTCCTCGTGTAGGTACGTAAACACTAGTAACAAATAAAGCCCTTCACTGCCATTGTTAGTAGGCAGTGTTTCATACTCCACTTCAGAGTTGCAAAAACTGGGATCAGAATCCTGCTGTCTACTGTGGCAAACTCAAGTTTCACCTACACAAGAACACTGCTTGCCAGAAAGCATTATTGTCCCCATTTTATAGATAGAGAACAGACATAAAAACTGTCTCAAGGAGTCTGTAGTATAACCAGGCACTGGCTGCAAATCACTTGCAAATCTAGGCCAATGCCTTAGCCTCAAGACCACCTTTTTCACCTGTTGACTTCCATGGGCATTGGATCAGTCCCCTAGTGAGACCCAGTAAGAGTTATCCACTAAATACTCCTGGGGGAATTCTGCACCACTGCGCAATGCAGAATTTTGCAGAAATTAATGTTATGCATACAGAATTGCCTTTCCCCCCACAGAAATGGGCTGCAGTGCTGCTGGCCCCCACTAGAGACCACTGGACACAGCAAAGCCCAGCTCGCACATAGAAGACACTACTGGGGGGAGGGGAAGGGAGCTAGAGGGTTCCCAGGAGCTGCAGTTCCCAGCACACCCTGAGGGAAGGAGACGGCAGCACGCAGGAAACTCCACACAATCCTGGGACTGAGCATCAGGCTGTTTCTCCCTCTGGATCCCTGGGCTCTGAGGAGTAGGGAGGGCCAGGTGTCTGGGTTGTGTGGGGGCACAGCTGAGCTCCGTGGGGGAGGGAGTGGGTATCTTGGCAAGGGGGGCACTGCGGCTGGGCTCTGGGGGGGGGAGAAGGTGGGTATCTGGGCCAGGGGGCCCCTGCGGCTGGGCTCTGGGTGGGAGGGGGTTTGGGTGGACTGGCTGGGGGAGGGCCGTGGCAGGCCCTGGGGGGAGAGGGGCTGTGAGTGTCTGGCCTCCCAGCTGATCTCTGGGGGGCGGCGAGGGGGCAGAGAAACAGGAACTGGGTTGTCATAGGGGTTTCTTTAACTCTCTACTCCTGAGGGAATATTTGTGTGTGTCTGTGTTGTTACAAACATACTTGCTGACAGGTATTTTGAAATAAATTACCAAAATAATTGAAACTGGCATGATTATATAGTGTTATTTTGACAAATAAAATTTGCAGAATTTTAAAATATTGTGCGCAGAATTTTTAATATTTTGGTGCAGAATTCCCCCAGGAGTAGACTAAAGAACATCAGTAGTGTGCCTTTATGGTTAAAAATCTTCCTGGGAATAATGATCAGAGGTCTGGGCTGTGAAGTCCATCGATAGATCCGTGTCTGAAGCATTATTTATATTACTGTAACACCTAAAGTCCCCAAGGCCTCAATGCACCAGGCACTGTAAAAACACAGACTGAGAGAGGCACTGCCATAAGGAGTTTACAGCCGAGACAGACAAGGCAGGTGGGAGGAGATGCAGAGGGACATGGAGATGAAGTAACTTGCCCAAGGTCACACAACAGATTGAGGGCAGAGACAAAGATAGAACACAGGTCTTTTAAGTCCTAGTCTAGTGCCATAACCAGTGTCAATACACTGCCTCTCAGTGTGGGAAGGTACAGACCTGCAACTCCAATATAGCCTGTTCTTAATATTAATAATCCTCTTCTTTTGGTTCCTGCAGTGATGAGGGTGCGTTTCAATTCATGTGTCTGTTTACATTCCAGTCGCCATGCAGGGGATTCAGGGATGTTGTCTGAGTGGGGAACTGGAGTAGATTCCAGGCTGGTCTACACTAGAAAATTATGTCGGCCCTGCTAATTTGCGCCAGGGAAATCCACACCCCTGAGTGATGTCATTAAGCCAACCTAAATCCCACGTTATAGTCCTAGCCTTCACAACCTCCTCAGGCAAGGAGTTCCACAGGTTGACTGTGCGCTGTGTGAAGAAGAACTTCCTTTTATTTGTTTTAAACCTGCTGCCCATTAATTTCATTTGGTGGCCCCTAGTTCTTATATTATGGGAACAAGTAAATAACTTTTCCTTATTCACTTTCTCCATACCACTCATGATTTTATATAGCTCTATCATATCCCCCCTTAGTCTCCTCTTTTCCAAGCTGAAAAGTCCTAGCATCTTTAATCTCTCCTCATATGGGACCCGTTCCAAATCCGTAATCATTTTAGTTGCCCTTCTCTGAATCTTTTCTAATGCCAGTATATCTTTTTTGAGATAAGGAGACCACATCTGTATGCAATATTCAAGATGTGGGCGTACCATGGATTTATATAAGGGCAATAAGATATTCTCTGTCTTATTCTCTATCCCTTTTTAAATGATTCCTGACATCCTGTTTGCTTTTTTGACTGCTGCTGCACACTTTGTGGAAGTCTTCAGAGAAATATCCACAATGATTCCAAGATCTCTTTCCTGATTAGCTGTAGCTAAATTAGTCCCCATCATACTGTATGTATAGTTGGGGTTATTTTTTTCCAATGTGAATTACTTTACATTTATCCACATTAAATTTCATTTGCCATTTTGTTGCCCAATCACTTAGTTTTGTGAGATCTTTTTGAAGTTCTTCACAGTCTGTTTTGGTCTTAACTATCTTGAGCAGTTTAGTATCATCTGCAAACTTTGCCACCTCACTGTTTATCCCTTTCTCCAGATCATTTATGAATAAGTTGAATAGGATTGTCCTAGGACTGATCCTTGGGGAACACCACTAGTTACCCCTCTCCATTCTGAAAATTTACCATTTATTCCTACCCTTTGTTCCCTGTCTTTTAACCAGTTCTCAATCCATGAAAGGATCTTCCCTCTTATCCCATGACAACTTAATTTACGTAAGAGCCTTTGGTGAGGGACCTTGTCAAAGGCTTTCTGGAAATCTAAGTACACTATGTCCACTGGATCCCCCTTGTCCACATGTTTGTTGACCCCTTCAAAGAACTCCAATAGATTAGTAAGACATGATTTCCCTTTACAGAAACCATGTTGACTTTTCCCAACAATTTATGTTCTTCTATGTGTCTGACAATTTTATTCTTTACTATTGTTTCAACTAATTTGCCCGGTACTGATGTTAGACTTACCAGTCTGTAAATAGAGGATCACCTCTAGAGCCCTTTTTAAATATTGGCGTTACATTAGCTATCTTCCAGTCATTGGGTACAGAAGTTGATTTAAAGGACAGGTTACAAACCATAGTTAATAGTTCCGCAATTTCACATTTGAGTTCTTTCAGAACTCTTGGGTGAATGCCATCTGGTCCCGGTGACTTGTTACTGTTAAGTTTATCAATTAATTCCAAAACCTCCTCTAGTGACACTTCAATCTGTGACAATTCCTCAGATTTGTCGCCCACAAAGGACGGCTCAGGTTGGGAAATCTCCCTAACATCCTCAGTTGTGAAGACTGAAGCAAAGAATTCATTTAGTTTCTCCGCAATGACTTTATTGTCTTTAAGTGCTCCTTTTGTATCTCGATCATCCAGGGGCTCCACTGGTTGTTTAGCAGGCTTCCTGCTTCTGATGTACTTAAAAACCATTTTGTTATTACCTGAAGTGTTGCAGCTGTGCCATTGTAGCATTTCAAGTGTAGACAAACCCTTAGATATACTGTCCTGCCAGTTACATAAAGACACATGCATGCCAGCTGGGAACTGATCAAAGACTTCAAAATCTAGAGAAGCACCATAAGAGCTAATTATCTAAATTACCAGATTTTAGCTTTTGGCCAATTTATAAAGTGCTGCAGCACACTTGCACCCAGTCCATTCACCTCAGCGTTTTATCTCCACAGGTAGGAAAGGGAAACCATCTCAGAATCCATTTGCTGAATGCCTGAACTCTACGAGCTGCACAGGTATCTCTGCCTCTCTGTCTCTCCTCCTTGGTCCCTAAGGACATTCCCAGCTGTCCCAGTAACATGTGATGTTTCTGCATTTCCAGGCCAGGAGAAGTTACGTGTTGTGGGAGGAGAGGACAGATGCTCGGGCAGAGTGGAGGTTTGGTACCGTGGCTCCTGGGGAACAGTTTGTGATGACTGCTGGGACATGGCAGATGCTAACGTTGTGTGTAAACAACTGGGCTGTGGATCTGCTGTATCTGCCCCGGGCGAGGCTGCATTTGGCAAGGGGACTGGTCCCATCTGGGTGGAGAAGGTGAACTGCAGAGGGACAGAGTCATCTCTCTGGGACTGTCCTGCCATGCCATGGGGTGAGAGTAACTGTGATCATAAGGAAGATGCTGCTGTGAATTGCTCGGGTGAGTGACAGGAGATGTTTCTGCTTTGTTATATAGTTTTTAAGAGGGAGCAAGCATCACAGCAGCTGGGTCCCCATTCCTGCCCACAGACCAGGCCTCCTTTTTCCTTAATGGATGGAATGTGTTGGGACTTTTTTTTATTCTATTGTGCTATGGCATCAGACCATGTCACTTCCTTTATACAGCACAGGCTAAGCCACTAAGCCTGGGCTGCTCTGAGGAAGATATCATGGTTGAAATGTAGGTGATGTGCAGAGGCACATGGGGACTCAGAGGAACAATCATGTAACAGCATGTCACCACCCCCTCACTCCACACTCCAACTCTCCTTCCTTTTCCCCTTGCAGGTGTGACAGAAACAACAGCTTCACCTGCTACAACAGGTAACACATTCTCTTCCAATCAAGGGTTAAATTTACCTAGTGCCAGGCTCACAGGGGGTGAGCTGGAACCTCCAGCCTGAGCGAATGAGCTTCTTTACACAGAGTGTGAAATCTAAGGGTGAATGACACCCGGGTGGGAGCTGCAGGCCGTGCTGAGCAGGACAATTCCTGTCTATTGGTTCTAGCCACCAGGGCCATGATTTAAATAGCAGCCTGTGAGCTACCCCCATGGTGCACAGACTGTGTCCCAGCCCATTACCCTGCTTCCTAGGTGGTTCAATCAGACACTGGTGAGCTCCTCTGGGCGCCCCTGACTCTCACAGAATAATCTCTCCCTGTTGCATGTTCATTTCCATCCAGCTCCCCCACGCCGCCCTCTGACCGACAGTGGGAGAGTCACGGTGCCTGTTGTCATCTGCATTATCCTGGGGGTCCTTCTCTGCCTGCTGTTAATCATTCTGGGTGTGCAGGTGCAAAGGGCCAGGGCACAGCACAGAGGTAGGTCCTGATTAGTGTCACTGTCTGAAATGTCTCTGCAATAGCAGGGGGAGCCACAACTGTGAAGAGCTGTGGGCATTGGCAGAGCTGTGAGGGGACCTCAGGTCTATGCTAAGTCTTGTCTTATTTAATATTGTCATTGATGATCTGGCTGTAGAAGTAACCAGGAGAGCAATAACACTTTCAGATGATACTAACCTGGGTGCATTTGAGAGCAGTGGTGACAAAGAAATAATAAATAGGGGATTAGAGAGACTGTAAATATTGGCAAAAAATAGAGATCACATTTGGGAAAGTACAAGAAAGTGCATGTGAGGGAGGACACTGAACAGAGAGACTCAGTAGGAGGGAGAGTTCGAGGAAGAAGAAATGCTGGAAAAGAGCTTGGGTGATAATTGCCAAAAAATCAAAGACAATTCCAATATTTGGCACTTTTCATTTTTTAAAAAGTGCAAAAACATTCGCTAGTTAATGCCCACACAGTCCCTAGGCAGCATGTGTAGAAGTACTAAGTATATATATATATGTAAGTGCTATTTTGCTCATAGCTGTAAACATCAGTTTGGGAGAGGAATTATTTCAGGTGATACCAGGGAAAATAACTAAGATTAATGAGATTAATGTACAATGGGAAATTTTAGGCTAAATATGAGGAGAGACTTGTGACAGGAAACTAGCCCATGGGAACCATCATCAAGGGTTGTTGTGGAAAGGGACGTGGTCTCTGTCACCTGGCACATTCAAATGTAAAATGGACAGAGCATTGGGAATGTGCTGTAGGGATCGATCCTGGACTGGACCCAGGGCGCAGGGCTGGATGATCTAATAGGGTTTCCTATCTATAGTTTCTATGACCCTCTGCAAACACTGTCCTTTTTTTTCAGGTGCCACAAGACCCTCAGATCCCGTGTATGAGGAGATTGATTATAACCTGATGGGAGAGAAGCAGATATTGGGTCACTCAGGTATGTGTGTCTCATTCCTACTGAACTTTCCATCTTGAGGCCATGACCCACAGCTAGATATCTTCAGCCACCAGCTCTGTGAACCCTGGACTGCTGTGGGCCAGTTACTGAACTCATGTAGGTGCGGTGATGGATTAGCCATTGGACCAACGGCAGGGCCGGCTTTAGCAGGTGCGGGGCCCCACGCCGGGACGCAAATTGTCTCGCGCCCCCCCCCCCACCCCAACTCCGCCCCGGCCCTGGCCCGACTCCGCCCCTTCCCTGACCCATTGGATCCCTCCCCAAATCCCGACCCTGGCCCTGCCCCCAGACCCGCCCCCTCCCTGCCCCATTGGATCCCTCCCCAAATCCCCACCCTGGCCCCGCGTCTTCCCCAAGCACGCCCGCATTCCTCCTCCTCACCCCTCCCTCCCAGGCTTGCGCTGATCAGCTGTATGGTGGCGCAAGTGCTGGAGGGAGGGGGGAGAAGCAAGATGCGGCTTTTTTTTTTTTTTTTTTTTTTTTCCCGCTCTGCCGGCAGCCCCGGATGTTGCGGGGCCCTCTTAGGCGTTGGGCCCCATTCCGGGGAATCGGCCGAATCGGCTTAAAGCTGGCCCTGACCAACGGGGCCTGTGCCCAGGGTCCCCGGACAATTGGGGGGCCCTGGAAAAATCGGTGCTCCCACACCCCGACCTGCTCTGCCTGCCTCTCCTGCCAGGGAATGGGATCAGGGTGCAGGGCATGCCTCACCCCGTATGCCTGCTCGGCACTCCGGCCAGGGAGAGGGGGAAGCCCCCACAACCTGACCCTGCTTCTTGGCAGGAGCGCCAGGGGCAGGGGACTACTGATAGAAGTAGCTCTGGCCCAGGGCCCCACAAAACAGTAATCCGCATCTGGTCAGGTGAGCCCCCTCCCCAGCAGACTCTGCTAGACCCCATTCTCAGGACAGCTAGTCCCATCTGCCCATCTTGTAGCCTTGGAGTGTAACTAATTGTGAGTCAGCAAAGTGACTGTCTCTGGGCCCAGGCTATAGCATCATCTGAAAACTGCTGGAGCAGGGGATGTTCTGTGCCCCCCTCCCACCGCAGCCTCTGGTCTGCTGGATTGGCTCCCTCCTGCCCTGGGATCAGAGAGATCAGCCCAGGAGATGTGGGTAACTTTGAGTCATGGGGCCAACCTTTGTGCCATTTTGACTCAATATCAATCAGTTGGGAACATGCTACTTTCAGGGCAGGTCCACACTGGGGCGGGGGATCGATCTAGGAAATGCAACTTCAGCTACGAGAATAGCGTAGCTGAAGTCGACGTTTCCTAGATCGAACTAAATTTACTTACTTCGGGTCCACGCGGCGCAGGCAGGCTCCCTCGTCGACAGCGCTTCCTCCTCTCGGCGAGCAGGAGTTCCGCAGTCGACGGGGGAGCGCTTCTGGGATCGATCTATTGCGTCCAGATGAGACGCAATAAATCGATCCCAGAAGATCGATCTCTACCCGCCGAATCAGGCGGGTAGTGTGGACCAGCCCTCAGTTTAGGACATTGTGAGGCTCTCTTGAGCATGGTAAGTGCATCCAGTTGGTCACAGGCTGTGATCCTGGGAGGGGAGGGGCCTAATCTTTCAACAAGGTGGGAGTGTCAGGGTTCCCCCCCGACTCTGAACTCTGGGGTACAGATGTGGGGACCTGCATGAAAGACCCCCTAAGCTTATGTTCTACCAGCTTAGGTTAAAACTTCTCCAAGGCACACATTTCTTTCCTTGTCCTTGGATGGTATATTGCTGCCACAACCAAGTGATTTACACAAAAATTCAGGGAAGGGTCACTTGGAATCCCTATCCTGCCGCCATATATCCCTCCAAGCCCCTTCACCCCCTTTCCTGGGGAGGCTTGAGACTAAAATACCAACCAGTTGCCTTAGCAACATGAGCTCAACCAGACCCTTTGTCTTAGGACCTTGAAATCAATCAGGTTCTTAAAAGAAGAACTTTATTATAAAGAAAAAAGTAAAAGAATCGCACCTGTAAAATCAGGATGGAAGGTAACTTTACAGGGTAATAAAAAGATTTAAAACACAGAGGATTCCCCTCTGGGCTCAGCTTCACAGTTACAAAAACAGGAATGAAACTACCTCTGTAGCATAGTGAAATTCACAAGCCAAAACAAGAAATAACCTAACACATCTCCTTGCCCTACTCACAGTTTCTGTGGTTTTAGATGGATTATTCCAGGTATATATTTCAGGAGATATTGTACCTGCTTATCTTCTCCCTCCGTCTGGAGAGGGAACAACATACAGAACAACAGACAAATCCTTCCCCCCCAGATTTGAAAGTATCTTCTTTCCTTATTGATCCTTCTGGTCAGGTGCCAACTAGGTTATTTGAACTGCTTAACCCTTTACAGATAAGGCAGTCCAGTACAGCTGTCAAGGAGGGATTTTATGCTACTGCATACATAAAGGTTGCTACCTTTCCCCATATATTCATGACAGGGGGAGAGGGAGTATTTTGCTTTAAGAAGTGGTGTTACCTGTACAATTTATGACTCCGCCCCTACCGTCCCTCATGGGTACTCAGGGCGTAATATAGGGCTCCCCCCATCCTCATGGGTACTCAGGGAATAAGGGACCCAACTTTATCCTTCCATGGGCTCAGGGCTAACACCCATTCTGGATGGATTCAGAACACAGTGAATATCCTTAAACATGTACAAGAATTTATTGACAATTAGCAACACATCAACAGAATACACACATACATCTTATGCTCACCAGTCCCAATAAAACAGACGGACGTCTCCTGATGGCCAGTCACGGTCATGTCGTCTGTGCTCTGGCTTCTGCACCGTCTGGTCCTGCAGGGTTAAAAGGTCTTGTCCTGTATTCTAGAGTTAAGTTCCAACAAGCTTGTCTTTTGACCCTCATTATGTAGTTAAAATAAGGATTTCTCTTATCTATGCCTTAACTAATTATTTTACTTAAAACATAGCTATGCAAAAACACTAACCAATCATTTGCACTATACAGGGGTTCACACAAGTGAGCATGTGTGCTATTCCATGCCATAACAAAACTAGCTTTGGTCGTTGTGTCAATTTCTTTACTGAACGCTGAAAGTAGTGTCTGTCGACTGTTTAGGTGTATTTTTAATGTGGCTATTTTGTTTTTCCTTAATTCTGATTCAGAAGGGTATTTAGATGAAAATTTATTGTGATTCGTTTCATAATGACTTTTCAAGTTGCTCACTTCGATGCATTGCAGATAAGACCCAGGGGTTTGCCACCTTTAACAGTGAATCAAAATCTTCCTCCCATTCTGACTTAAAACTTTGTTTTTCTTCTTCATACTTGTGTTTCTTACAATCTGAAGATGTCATTGTTATCCACAAAATTAACGTAGGGTTAAAACTTAAATCTAAAACTATTCAAATGTGACATATGAACAGTAAACACTGCCTGTATTCTGAGGAATGCAGGGAGATCACGAGCACCCGAGGTCCACACAGCACAACTTTTGAATACAGAATGATGCAATTTCCTGATATAATGCACATATGAGTGAGAGCTTCTCTCTCACTATCGGGTTCACTCAGTAGGAGAGAAAACCAATTTTGAAATTCTTTCACCAATTTGTATAGCCTTTTTAAAAAATTGGTGTTAATATTAATTTTAGCCACAACTTGTGTTAGACCATAGTTTCTCCACGAGCTGCACTTTAACTGTAGAAGAGCCATGGTTTGGCTATGCCTGGAATATATGGATGCTGTAAATCCTGCTCTAGGACCCGGGTGCATCAGCCAGCAGTCAGTTTAGCTGCTCTCACTGTGATAACATCTCATTTGTTGTCTCTCCAGTCTCCTATGCAGAGGATTCAGTGACGAAGCTGCAGTATTACACCGGGGACAGTGAGGGGGGAAACGATTCTGGATCAGAACGAGGTAATGGGGTAAGGTGGCATACAAAGAAAAAGACTCAAATCTGGGTGGAGAATTTAATTTCCACGGCATTTTCTGTAAAGGCCATCATTTCCCTTCACTCGATTTCATGGCCCAGCACTGATTGTATCCCTTCTGATGGGATCGGATTTAACCAGACTTTCAAATATTTCTGATGAACCCTGTGATGGAAATATGTGATCAAATTCTGGCCCTTCCTGTGTGCAGTTCATGGTACCCTCCCCCGCGGGAGGACCTGCAAGAAATGGGGCCCAGGAATATTTGCTTGCAATAGAAGAATCTGAATTTCATATCTGGCACTGAGTATTAAACAAAACCCTAATCTGTGCCCATGGTCTTACCCACCTGCTTCCATGGCATGAACACAAGCCCAAATCACAATCTAGCCCATATAAACTAAGAGACTTTACACCATGTTAATATAGTTCAGTTGGATTCACAAAGGTCAGTTCTGGTGCAGCAGCTACTGTAGGTGTGTCCAGTATTAGCTCAGCACCAACACAGATCCAGATCCTATGGAAGGGCTTGACAACATTGCTCTTGGATTCAGTGGGGATGGGCCTCAAATTATTTATGAGAAATTAAAGGTTGCTGTGACATTGCACCCCATATTCTTCATAGTGATATTATTATAATATGATTATGGCATAATTATGATGAATTTTGTACAAGACAGGTCATGTAAGGTGTCATTGGAAAAGTTATGATTTGCTGAATATGATTATCCTATTTGTATGCATGTATCATTTTTGTATCTGAAGTTATAAATATTGACTATGGATCTGTATTGGGCTTACTCTGGAACACACCTACAGCCAGCCTTTCAGGTACTACAGTGAAGAAGACAGACAGTGCTAATGGCTCATCAACAAAGACAATAGGCTGTGGAATGGCTTAAACTTCCCGAGAACGCTCCAGACAGCCTGTTAGTAATGGCTGCTGTGACTCAGAAAGATATGAAAGGGCATGTGACTAAGCCACATGACACTGGACTCCATTTTGGGATGTCAGTATTTTTCCACAAACTGGCCTGGGAACCAAGATTAAAACATATGGCTCCTGCCATATGCTAAATCTATAGAAGGCAAGAAGTGACATCATCCATGGTTCTTCACTCCTGACACAAGAAGACTCCTAAAGGAACAAAAGACTGAACTGGGGGAAGAGCTGGACCCAGGCTAAAGGGATTTCTAGCTTGTGTATGAAAACCTGGGGATTCCTAGCTGTAAAGCAAGTGCAGCTTGTACCTTGAGAGTCTGCAAGCCTGCCTTTATCATCAGTCAGGATGAGACATTGTTAAGTCAAATCCTATCCTTCTAGTACAGGGGTCGGCAACCTTTCAGAAGCAGTGTGGCGAGTCTTCATTTATTCACTCTAATTTAAGGTTTCGCGTGCCAGTAATACATTTTAACATTTTTAGAAGGTCTCTTTCTGTAAGTCTATAATATATAACTAAACTATTGTTGTATGTAAAGTAAATAAGGTTTTTAAAATGTTTAAGAAGCTTCATTTAAAATTAAATTAAAATGCAGAGCACCCCAGACCGGTAGCCAGGACCTGGGCAGTGTGAGTGCCACTGAAAATCAGCTCGCGTGCCGCCTTTGGCACGCATGCCATAGATTGCCTACCCCTGTTCTAGTATGTTAAGCTTAGTTTGCATTTTTGTTTATTTGCTAGGTAATCTGATTTGATCTGTTTGTTATCACGTATAATCACTTAAAATCTATCTTTTCTAGTTAGTAAACTTGTTTTTTCTTTATCTAAATGAGTGAGTTGGAATGAAGTGCTTGGAAATCTTAGCTCAAGGAGAAAAGGCTGTTGCATTTCCTCTGCACATTGAGGGGGAGGCAAACTGGATAATAAATTCATACTGGTCGGGGTTTTGACCAGGGCAGGACGATACAGCTCTGGGGTCATAAACTGGGATGCTGGCAGTTGTTTTGGCTGTAGCCTCTCTATTGTTGGTGTGACGGGTTGGATCACAGAAACCCCCTTGGGAGCTGCCACCCGATGTGCCAAGACTACTTCTACCCCTGCCTTCCCTGCCAGCTCGGGACTCCAGCACCCTGTCTTGCTGAGCCACACACTCCTGTTTGCTCCAACAAAGACCCAGGGTCTGAATTACTTGCCCCAAAAGCTGCAGGTTTACCTGAAAGCAGCTCACAGAAGTGTTCTTGTCTTTAACACCCAGATGCCCAACTCCCAATGGGGTCTAAACCCAAATAAATCCGTTTTACCCTGTTTAAAGCTTATGCAGTGTAAACTCATAAATTGTTCACCCTCTATAACACTGCTAGAGAGATATGCACAGTTGTTTGCTCCCCCAGGTATTAATACATACTCTGAGTTAATTAATAAGTAAAAAGTGATTTTATTAAATACAGACAGTAGGATTTAAGTGGTTCCAACTAGTAACAGACAGAACTAAGTAAGTCACCAAGCAAAATAAAATAAAATGTGCAAATCTATGTCTAATCAAACTGAATACAGATAATCTCACCCTCAGAGATGCTTCAGTAAGTTTTTTCTCAGACTGGACCCCTTCCAGGCCTGGGCACAATTCTTTCCCCTGGTACAGCTCTTGTTCCAGCTCAGGTGGGAGCTAGGGGGTTCTTCATTATGGCTCCTCTCTTTAGCCAGCTGAAGACAAAATGGAGGGGTCTCCCCAGGGTTTAAATAGACTTTCTCTTGTGGGTGGAGACCCCCTCCTCAATCCTATGCAAAGTCCAGCTCCAAGATGGAGTTTAGGAGTCACCTAGGCAAGTCACATGTCCATGCATGATTCATAGTTTTTACAGGTAGCATCCATTGTCCTGAAGTAGACTTCTTATTGGATTGGAGCATTCCAAGATCCATTGTCCTTTAAGTGTTTCTGGATTAGGTACTTCATTTCAACATTCCTTTCTCCAGGAACTGACCAAATGCTCTACTAAGGTTATTTAGAAACCAAGCCAGTACACAGCCAACATTCATAACATTCATAACTTCAAATACAAAAATGATACATGAATACAAATTGGATTAATACATTCAGTAGATCATAACCTTTATGGCATATGTAGCATAAAACACATTCTAAGCATATTTCCATAAAGCCTTATGGGAGGTACCGTCACAGTTGGTTCATACAGTGGCTGGTCAGAGAGCCTGCATGTAACTGCAGCTGGGTGTGTCCCTACCTGTGTGAATGCTGGTGGAAGTGTAGGACTGGGAGTGGGTCTGCAGCTTGTCACAGCAACAGTGTGAGACGGAGCCCAGGAAGGTGAGTCAGAGGGCTCAGTGGTACCCCAGTTCCAGGTGGCACCCTTGGGGGAACCTGTCACAGTGACACCACTCCTAGTTTACAGAATGTCCATGACTTTCCCTTTTCTCCTTGATCACCCTGTGACTTCTCCTACAAACGCCAGGATAAATAGCCTGGACTCCAATGCAACAGGCACTTAATGGGGAACTAGAAACCTGCTCAGGAACCGGGTGTGTTCAGAGGGAGCTGAGTGTTGTGTTCGCTGTTCCAGAGGGAGCTTCCCCTGGGGGGTCTCAATTGGATTATGATAACGTGGAGGAGCCTGCATTGAATGATGACCCCCAGACTCCAGACGACCAAGGTGAGGAGTGAATCTGCCTTCTGGGAGCAGTGTTAGCCCAGGAAAAAGCTAATAATATTGTCTTTGTAGAGACAAAAATTGTGCCTTATGGGTTTGCTCTTGTAAGGTGCTGAGCATCTTCAGTCCTGCTGCGATCAATGGGAGCTCAGAGTGCTCAGCACTTCACAGGATCAAGCCTTCTGCAAGCAGCTGTTTGACAAACTCTTCTCCCATAAAGCATGGCTGTGTGCACTGGTTTAGTCCAGAGATGCACTGAGAGGAGCAAGAAATAGCAAAGCATGTGGTGCTGCAGGTCAGAATAGAGGCACATTAGCCAACCAGTGTGACTCTAGAAGAAGGTTTATCACCCCCGTGACTCTAGAAGAAGCTTGTTCTCCCCCTGCCCACGCTGCCTGATTCTAGTCACTGATCCCTGGCCCTCACTTCCATATGCACTAGCGTTACTCACAATATTAGGGGACAATCTCTCTGAGCACAGCCCTCTGATCTGCAGTAATGGTCCCTTTCCACCATTCCTGCCTGTGCTGAGTCCACTGATCTAGACGTGAGTTTCACATGCACTGTGATAGGTGAAGGGATGTACAGATTTCACACACAGACCCATATCTTGTCCTGATCTGGTGGTGCAGCTTCCAGAGACTGCAGATTGAGGGTGGTTTATGGGCCAGACTAGTTCAGGGAAATGGAACAAAACAAGATTTTAACCATAATTGAAAATTTAGGAAGTGGGTGATAAACAGAACAAATTAAAGTGTCATTTATCTGTTACTAATTACTAATTGATATATAATTAGTATAACAACAAATTACAGTGAAGAAATCTTCCTCTGACATAGACCATACCCCCAGCCACCTCTTTCCAGATCTCCCACATCCCCACCTGGGTTTCTGCTTTAGGTTCCGTCCAGCAATTTACAGACACATCAAGTCCTTAAAATGTATCAGATAAATGTGACCTGTATAAAATTCCTCTGACACTGAGGTTGCGGGGGGAGAAGGGGACTTTTGATCTCTTACCATTGTGGGAGTGTTAGTACCTCAGGGCCCTTCCTACCTGGTGTATAATTTATTTCTCTATTCAGTGGAAGGTCTCTTCTCATTACCATCAGGGCCGGTGCAACCACTAGGTGAACTAGGCGGCCGCCTAGGGCGCCTAGTGGTTGAGGGTGCCTAAAAGCCCGCTCAGGCGAGGAGGTGGAGTGGAGGTGAGCTGGGGCGGGGTGGCGTGGGGAGGGCCGCCTGCAGTAACGGGGGGGCGCACAGGGGAACCACTCCCTGCCCCAGATCACCTCCACTCTGCCTCCTCCGCTGAGCACACAGCCCCTGCTCTAATTCTCCTCCAATTGGCGCCGCAAGCCTGGGAGGGGAGGAGAATTAGAGCGGCGCCGGCGTGCTCAGCGGAGGAGGTGGAGCAGAGGTGAGCTAGGGCGGGCTCCCCGGGCGGGGTTAGCTGCCGCGGGGGGGGGGGGGGGGGGGTTAGCTGGGTGTGGGGGTGGCGCAAGGTGGAAGTTTCGCGCCCTAGGCGAAACTTCCTTGCACCGGCCCTGATTACCATTAATTCCTGTCTCTGTTTCAGAGGGCGATGCCTTGCCTGGAGATGTCCCAGGAGATGGTTATGATGATGTCAGAGAAGTTTCTGACCCTGGTTCAGGCCAGTGTACCCGGGAAGTTACTTGGGCCCCTCGGGTGAGTGACAGGAACAGGGATTCACAGAGAGGTAAGTGAGGAAAAGCCCTGTTGCAATTCTTGCAGTTTGATTGCTAGTCTCATTATGGCTTGGTCTACACTACAGACTTAGGTCAATGTAAGGCAGCTTACATTGACCTAATTTTGACACTGTACACACTACAACCTTGCTCCTGCTGATGTAAGTGCCCTACTACAGCAACATCATAACTCCACCTCCACGAGAGGCATGGGTCTTATGTCAGTCCAGTTAGGGTGACACAATGTCTGTGTAGACACTGCCTTACTGTTGGCTGTCATTCTTGTCAATTTCATGGCTGCATGCTAGAGCCATGAAATTGACAAAAAAAGCTGGGTTGGGAGTGGAGGGCTCCAGCTAGAGCCTGGCTGCCCCCAAGCTCCCTGCTCCCAGCCAGGCTACGCTCGCCCTGTTCCCCACTCAGAGCTGGGCGGTGCCTGCCAGGCTCCCCTGCTCCCTACTCCCAGCCGGGCTGCACCTGCCTGGCTCCCCACTCCTAGCTGGCCTGCTGCCTGGGCTCCCAGGAGCCACCCAGACTACAGGCACAGAGCTCCACACCAGGAGCCCCGGGGGCCAGCCACACTCCTGGCAGCAGGGAGCGGGGATCTGGCTCCCAGCAGCAGAGGGGAGCCAAGAGATCAGGGGTAGCCAGGCTCCTCACGGGCAGCTGCACGGCTCTCAGTCCCCCACACTGCCCCTCTTAAGTCAGTGGAAGAGCTTTTGGTGAGGATCAACACAATGGGCAGAAGGAGGGCAGTGTGTACATGAACCATTGCAGTAATTACTGCGGTGGCGTAAGTGACCTAAAATAGGCCAGCTTAAGTTTCTAGTGTAGACTTTCCTGATATTTGGTAAAAGACGCAGCTCCTAGACTTAGATGGTTACATGAGAATCTCAGCTTTCAGTTTAAGAAAGGAAGTTTTCTAGCCCTCATGGTTGTAGAAAGAAGCCTCAAATCATGAACCAAATTTAACCTAAAGGCTTAGGAACCAGAAGACAAACAGAAACCAAAAGGAAACCAAAATGTTTTTTTTAATCTCAAGATTGTTAAGCCAATCTCATGATATTTGAGGCCTTACTCCTGATTTCGAAACACTTGGAGATGGCAGTGCTGGAAATGTCTGTGTTTCCCAGTGACCCACAGGAACAATCTCCAGGTGGGAATGTGGGTTATGCAGCAAAGAAGTGACGCTGGCCAAAGCGATGGTTGTGAGGAGTCTCCTCTCCTTGTAGAGCTCTGTGCATAGATTCATAGATTCATAGATTCATAGATTCTAGGACTGGAAGGGACCTCGAGAGGTCATCGAGTCCAGTCCCCTGCCCGCATGGCAGGACCAAATACTGTCTAGACCATCCCTGATAGACATTTATCTAACCTACTCTTAAATATCTCCAGAGATGGAGATTCCACAACCTCCCTAGGCAATTTATTCCAGTGTTTAACCACCCTGACAGTTAGGAACTTTTTCCTAATGTCCAACCTAGACCTCCCTTGCTGCAGTTTAAGCCCATTGCTTCTTGTTCTATCCTCAGAGGCTAAGGTGAACAAGTTTTCTCCCTCCTCCTTATGACACCCTTTTAGATACCTGAAAACTGCTATCATGTCCCCTCTCAGTCTTCTCTTTTCCAAACTAAACAAACCCAATTCTTTCAGCCTTCCTTCATAGGTCATGTTCTCAAGACCTTTAATCATTCTTGTTGCTCTTCTCTGGACCCTTTCCAATTTCTCCACATCTTTCTTGAAATGCGGTGCCCAGAACTGGACACAATACTCCAGCTGAGGCCTAACCAGAGCAGAGTAGAGCGGAAGAATGACTTCTCGTGTCTTGCTCACAACACACCTGTTAATACATCCCAGAATCATGTTTGCTTTTTTTGCAACAGCATCACACTGTTGACTCATATTTAGCTTGTGGTCCACTATAACCCCTAGATCCCTTTCTGCCGTACTCCTTCCTAGACAGTCTCTTCCCATTCTGTATGTGTGAAACTGATTTTTTCTTCCTAAGTGGAGCACTTTGCATTTGTCTTTGTTAAACTTCATCCTGTTTAACTCAGACCATTTCTCCAATTTGTCCAGATCATTTTGAATTATGACCCTGTCCTCCAAAGCAGTTGCAATCCCTCCCAGTTTGGTATCATCCGCAAACTTAATAATCGTACTTTCTATACCAATATCTAAGTCGTTAATGAAGATATTGAACAGAGCCGGTCCCAAAACAGACCCCTGCGGAACCCCACTCGTTATGCCTTTCCAGCAGGATTGGGAACCATTAATAACAACTCTCTGAGTACGGTTATCCAGCCAGTTATGCACCCACCTTATAGTAGCCCCATCTAAATTGTATTTGCCTAGTTTGTCGATAAGAATATCATGCGAGACCGTATCAAATGCCTTACTAAAGTCTAGGTATACCACATCCACAGCTTCTCCCTTATCCACAAGACTCGTTATCCTATCGAAGAAAGCTATCAGATTGGTTTGACATGATTTGTTCTTTACAAATCCATGCTGGCTGTTCCCTATCACCTTACCACCTTCCAAGTGTTTGCAGATGATTTCCTTAATTACTTGCTCCATTATCTTCCCTGGCACAGAAGTTAAACTAACTGGTCTGTAGTTTCCTGGGTTGTTTTTATTTCCCTTTTTATAGATGGGCACTATATTTGCCCTTTTCCAGTCTTCTGGAATCTCTCCCGTCTCCCATGATTTTCCAAAGATAATAGCTAGAGGCTCAGATACCTCCTCTATTAGCTCCTTGAGTATTCTAGGATGCATTTCATCAGGCCCTGGTGACTTGCAGGCATCTAACTTTTCTAAGTGATTTTTAACTTGTTCTTTTTTTATTTTATCTGCTAAACCTACCCCCTTCCCATTAGCATTCACTAGGATAGGCATTCCTTCAGACTTCTCGGTGAAGACCGAAACAAAGAAGTCATTAAGCATCTCTGCCATTTCCAAGTTTCCTGTTACTGTTTCTCCCTCTTCACTAAGCAGTGGGCCTACCCTGTCTTTGGTCTTCCTCTTGCTTCTAATGTATTGATAAAAAGTCTTCTTGTT